CGAGGGTTTGAAGGATGCCGAGCTCGATGTCAGCGGGTTGGATTGTGCCACGGAATGCTACAGAGCGCTCTGTAGCACTCTGTGGTGAATTCATGGGTAGGGCGAGAAATGGAAAGGAAGATTATTCAAGGGTGATGAAAAGTAGTGATGGGGGTAATTCTCCTTCAGATCTCTGGAGTGCCATTCGCACGGTGGTACATAGTGCTGACAGACTCTTCTGAGTCATCAGCGTTGGCACGGGCATCCTTGACTTTTTGAAAACGACGCAAAGCCCAACGGCGAGATAAAGACATGCGTCGTCTGGCTGCCAATCCGCATGACGACGGCCCACCAACAACCTTTGCAACACGTGAGCCTTCTTCCGTAGACAGTTCATCATACGTTCGAACTCCTCGTCTGTAAGCCACCTAATCAATTGTCCACCATCTGGTAATATTCGTGAACCATTGACTTCCTTTGGGAGGTGAGGAAGGCAGCTTCTTATGGTTTCGACCACTAGATTCCCTCATCTGCAACATCTCGCGCTGTATTTCTGCCAGGTCGCGGGCATGTTCAACTTGAGCGTCATACAACCTGCCTCGCAAATCAAAAAGTTCCGTGTGAAGGGTGTTGATTCGTCTCTGGGAGTCTCGCAATTGGGCTTGCGTCATGAGAGTGTTAGCGATAGTCTGATCGCCATTGACATCTCCTCGAAGATCGTAGACCCTCTGTTTAAGCTGTACACGATTCAACACAACACTAATTATTGTCACTGACAAAGCTCACCCTTTTTGACATATGCAAGTGATTGTCGTGCTCCATACTATCACTATCTGAAGACGTTTTGAGGGCCACATATCCGATTCGCAAACGATCCTGGCTTTAATAACAAATCCATGAGTAGCTCTCATAAGACAGAGATGAAACACTAACCTGAAGACGAGAGTTACATGAATGTCGTCGTCATCCTTATCGCAACCATTCTTGCCTACTAAGTCCTCAATGTTATCGAGTAAGGTAATCATTTGTCTGATGATAGCTCGTCCTTGTGAGATTGTTTTCCACCAGACTAGATGTAAAAGCGAGGCTCATACCTTTTCAATGTATGCCCCGACGTGAGGTTCTCTTCTAAGTCAGCAATTTTCCGTTTCTGACCAGCATTCTCACTGGCAGACGTCGGTGCTACCACTATGGGCGATGCTGCGAGAGGTCGTGGGGTGTTATCCACCTGGGACAATTCTTCGGGATGCTGATCATACTCCATCTGGGACATGAGCAGAAGGGGGGCGGGGGAAAGGGGGAAGAGTGAGAGGGTAGGAGACTGATGGCTAGCGTTCACTAGCGGCTCTCACTATATTTAGTGTTAATCGTCAAACTTTTAGTATTAGCCAAAAAAAACTTCCCTGAAGACATTGACGTTCAGGTTTTCTATTGTAGGCGTGCGCTGGAAATGGTCTTGTGAACAAACTAGTAATGATGATCATACTAAGTGCTACCAACGTAATTGAATAAATTTATTGTTACGTTGGCAGTTGACACTGAAAATTAGCTGAAAACGTACATGGATAAAAGAGTCAACCATACTCAAACTGGTGTGGGTGCCTACTAGGGTCCAAGGAACGGGTGCATTGCTCGAAGCCTAACTCGCTAGGCTGTAGCATATCGTCATCATAGGAATGTCAGCACTAGTACTACGTAGACACGCAGACCGACACCTGGGCTGAGGCCTTATATCTGGGTCCATCAGCGACAAACCATGATAATGTAGATAGAAATTAAAATAATTGTCCTGACCGAGTCGAGATGCAGATGAGAATGACGAAATCATGATGGATCAGGTCACAGAAGGGACTCGGAACGTCGGCCCTCACGGTACGGGTACGGCCCATCAGGCAAACGTAATTCACTACAGAGTGCTGCAGAGCGCTCTGCAGCACTCCGTAGCACAATCCAACCCGCTGATGGCCAGTGTTAGTACGAGGCCATTGAAGAGGTTGAAAAGGTTTCGAGGGCACGTGAAGCATACATGATGGAAAGAAACTCGTTGAACCAAAGAGGGTCACGGTGACCAGCCTAGTAATCATGTTGTAGTAGCTACACGCCGTATGTCTGTGGACAAAGACAGCTTGTGAAGCGTGTACATCGTACTGCTTGCCAAACCTAGTAATTGAAGGCTTAACTTGATAGAGGAAAATTTAAAAAGAAAGATGATCATCAAACAAATCCTCATCTCCATCTCCATCTCCATCATCTCCATCCAGCTCCTCATCGCTAAGCTCATCCTCATCCGAGTCCTCATCCGAGTCCTGTTCATCGTCACGTTCTGCTTCTTCGAGGTCTGCATCGTCAACGATATCCATAGTGTCTGAGTCACAGTCAGCTGGGGCCGCTACTAGTGAGCCAAGACAGTCTCTGGTTATCTTGCACAACGCTACTGGGTGTCCAATGCCAAAGTGAGTATAGCGTATAAACATATCTCGATCGACAAAGCTAACCCAAGACTCGAGGGTTAATGTATCATAAAAGGTAATATGCTAGCACACTCACATCCCAACATAATATGATTCCCAATCATCTAGTTCCCCATCAGGACGTCCCAATGATTTCCCAAGGGAAAGGGAGCTTATGCCTCATCCCGCGGAAAAAGCAGGAATCAGGTGAGCTCCTCGAATCACCTGGTCTGGATCGAGAAACCCGAACGAGTCAGGGTCAGATTCGTCAACAAATGCGACTTTCGGAAGACGAGTATGTTTCATGCTGCATTTATGGTTCCGTAATGGTGCTAGCCATCGGACCCAGAGGACTTCAAGACGGTGCTTTACAGGTTGATCTCCGTCGTTGAGCCAGGTTTCCATATGATAGATACCCAGCACGCGAGCGTACCAATATGGGTGGCTGGGTGTCGTCTCCCCCGAAAGCACCATGACGTCAGCGTGGGTCCTAGGGTTGATCGTATCATATTCGCGTCTGAGGTCGTATGTAGTGTAATACACCTGCATGGTTTGGACTGAGTAGATAGTGTTATTAGGGATAACTACCGAGTTGTGTTCTTCATCTGTGAAGACGTGGTCGCAATGACTGGTGTCGAGCTTGCGCAGCCTGTAAAGGATGTAGTCCTTCAGCCTTGGAATGAAATTCTGACGACTATTGTGAGAAAAGAGTTCCAACCGCAATATCATGCCTACCTTAACTGCTGGGTCGCCATCGTGTTCTTGAAGGAAGGGGAATAGGTTGACTGGATTGCTTTTAGTATTCGCGATGTGGTGATGGTTTCGAGAGAGCACCAAAGGCGGGGCTTCGGTAGGCGATTGGCTATCAGAGGAGAATGACGTGCCTCCAAATTCTGCAACACGTCGAAGTACACGGCGCCTCCGCTCGTGTTTAGCTAACTGCGCTGGAGTGTCTAATTTACTGGTTAGCGGGTAAAATGCCTTTAGGGCTCGGTGTGCAAGCTCTCCCTGGCCAAACTGAACATCAGGTGGATAGTGTAAATAAAACAGGCACATACTATTTGAGTGGTGAAAGAATCCGTTGTTCCGAAGAGCTTGATGGTTCTAACATAATCTCCCATTGCATGGAACTTGTAAGTACCAAGATTGAACTTCTTTACCCTCAATCCATTTACTTCTGGAGGGGTGGTACGGGGTTCTGAGTGCTGAGCGAGTCTTCGTTGGCGAGCCGCTTTTTCTTTCGGTAATTCGATGGTATTGAAGGCAGCACACGTGTCGCGTTGAAACTTCCGCAAGTTCTGACAGAGCTTCTTGAATATCTCGTCAAAAAAAGTAACCGTAGACTCTGTATGAATTCTAAGTTTAGCGAGCGCATGCCACTGTGCGAATCGATACAACAGAGACTGCACGATTGCATCGTGCTCTGGTGGAAACAACCCTTCAAAAACTGGAATAGAACACTTGGGGAACATGTCAGTTAGTCTAAGAAAAAAAGAAAGACGAAATAACCTGTAAGATATCTTCAAAGTCACGCGCCGCTAATCGTTTCATCTCAGATGTGTTGTTCGCAAATTTTTGAATCACGCCATGACCAAATGTGGGGACCTGGCAAAATCTACGGTATTATTGAGAGTCGACGACGCATTAGTAAATAGTGACAGCACTCTATGAATTCACGAACCTGCTGTCAAGAGTAGCCACCAGCTGGCTACCCCCAGGAAGAGCATAAAGAAGCCGTACAAGGTGCGTAAACAGCGCCTTCCAAGTACCCAATTCGCACTCGTGCATAAGGTCAACAACAAGCATGCAAAATGGGTCGAGGCCGAGCGGCACAAGCTTCTTGGCAAATTGATTCTAGGGGAACTGATCTCAGCTAATCACAAGTCGTGAAGAACTGTTTGTGCTTACGATGGTGGGTACCCAGGAACCCTCTCCAAGGGCATTTTCAACCTTTGAACCAAGTACAGTGTTTCCCCACCGGTAGATAAACTCGCGTGCTTTGTCGACTTTCGTTGTAGCATACACTCGAAGTGTAGCTATACGATTTTTCATGTCCTTAAGTAAACCGAGGGAACCAAACAATTTCTTTGGTGTGAGACAGCGAGGACATGTGCATGTGCCCATATCCTTGATGGTTGCGATCAAAACCCTGAAAAGTGACGAATGATCTAACAGTTTAAATTAGGGAAAAGGATGGCTGTACTTCTCTGGATAATCAGCAGAATAGGTAAATATTCTTGGAAATACTCTCCGCAGGACTCCATCCGGACAAGTCAGAATGATACCGTGGCGGTATGCTCGAAGGAATTCTTCATCAAGTAAGATTTCCCAGCATGCATGAAATAACTCCCTACGGCAGTGTGTATGAAGCGAGGCCATGCCAGTCTTTGATATACCGGACAGGTTGCTTAATACATCTTTAATGCTGTCGGGGAGCTAACAAAAACCGTTCATGTTAATAGTCGAGAATCAAATCAGGAGGACTCACCGAAGGTAAAAATCCTACTAGATGGCACGCTCCCGATTGAGGTAATGATCGTGCGTACTTCGTCAGATTGCCGAAATACAAGTAGAGGGGCCATGCCTTAGCAGTTCCAAAATTTGCTAGGTGAGTGGCATCAGAAAAGAACATAAGACCCACTATGACGCGTTCTAATGTACAGCCAGGTTCTTTGGGCAGCTTCTGGAGATCGTCCTGAGCTTCTAGCCAGGTATCAGAAGCGTAGAGCTCATCGAATATTCGCTCCTGGTGATCGTCCATTGGATCCTTCCATAACCGTTTGAAAGGCAGTAGATGGAATGCGCCTGCTTGGATGTCTGCAAATGCCACGCGGATCACTTCAACAAGAGGGCGATAATGGAATCCGGAAATACTATACGCCTTTGGGCTTTCCTCCCTTGATCTCGTAGGGATGTCGATGGTGACATCGGTCTCGATCCAGTCATCTGGGAAGGTGACTTTCTCCTCGCCCTTATCTTTATCCAATTCTTTCAAGTTCTTCTTAACCGAAAATCCCTCAAGATGCTTCGTGTCAAAATCGTCAGCCTGGAGAACATCACTGACGAGTCGCTGGACCTCAGTCTCCGATTTCTGGTGACTGCCCGAGTTCATCCACGTCATGAGGCGATAAATAGTCATATTTGGAAATGGGTAGGGTGGCGGAAAGATCTTTGCTGGGGAGTCAGTTCCTTGGACGATTATCGGACACGAATTGGCAAGTAATGAAGACGGTACGAATCTATCGGGCTCAAATGAAGGACGGCGAGGGTATAGACGACAGATCCCAACCGAGTCAAAGGCGGTCTGAAGAGTATCTCTCAGCGTAAGAAGGACACGCTGGATTCTGGACCGGGCTGGGAGTGGTTGAACAGGAACATTATTGCAGTCATTGAGATCCTCAGCCGGATGCTCGATATCATTGAAAGACCTTGGAATACGTCTCCTAGGAAGTATGGGAACTTCTAAAACCCGGTAGAGTGATCAGCAGACATCCAATATTCGGACATAAGATCTCACGATGACATCCATTTCCAAGACTAAGCCTGTCGTCCATGTCAAAGTCAACATTTTGTCGCCTTTCCAAGTCAGAGTTATTAAAGGGGTGCTGCAACTCGGGAATTTCGAGACTCGGGCTGGGGACATCAGATGACATACGAGCTGCTGGACTAGACCTAGGCCCGGCCATGGGCTTACAAGGGGCACTGAAAGGCTTCAATGGTAAGATTCTCTATTGACAAGTTTAGTGATTCAGCTCTGACTCGTCAGAAACCAATCGACTCACTTGTGAAGCGTTCGTGGACATATTTGCAGCTAAATGTGCTG